AGTAACTTACCCCGCATATGCATACTTTATGATGCCCCCAAATGCCCTGGTATGGCCGAGAGTGGGGTGGGTTCGCCCTCCCTCTCGAAATACTCTCACACGGCTACGCGTATACAGACTCTGCCAGGGAAGTCCTACTCACTGCCTTCACGTGGCGGGGGTGTTGTTTACGAAAATCAGAGGACGAAAACCGAATGTCCGGCGCTTTGACCGGATTCCAAATTAATGGTGCACACGGGCTCCAGTATCCTGAAGGAACAAATGGCGTATGAACCAGTTTTTGGTCACCGGCTTCCATGGGACTGCATCTCCTCACGATGCTCCACTGCCTTGTGGACTAAACCTTTAGGTCAAAGACAGCAGCTCACCTATGGTAAAAATTCGGCTCTATCTAAACGTCGTTCCTGAAACAAATACCTGGAGATAAGTCTACTTCTAATCGCGTCCAAACTATTGGCTTCCGTTATACTTCGTAGGTTGTTCAAAACCCGAGAAAAATTGACTCGCGAGGAGCAGGCTGGGTTTCGTTCTGGTCGAGGATGTATTGATCATATCTTCACCCTCCGCCAAGTGTTAGAACACCGCCATACTTATCAAAGGCCAACAATCGTAGTGGTTCTTGACATCATGGTTGCCTTCGATTCGTTGGACAGAACTGTTCTCTGGGATTGCGTATTGAAGAAGGGTGTGCCTGAGAAGTTTATTAACATCCTGAAAGCCCTATACACAAACACCTCAGGCAGAGTGAGTGCATACAACCACCTTTCTCCACTATTCCATTCGAGCAGTGGGGTTAGGCAGGGTTGCTCAATCTCACCATTCCTCTTCAACTTTGCCATCGATGACATTCTGGAAACAGCTCTGACGGATGTAAGTAATGGTGGTGTGGATCTGTTGCCTGGAGAAAGACTTCTCAACCTTGATTATGCGGATGATATTGTCTTACTGTGCGAGAATGCCCAAGCCATGCAATCCGCACTTCATCATTCGGCAATCAGTGTCCGTAGGTATGGTATGTGCTTTGCACCTTCGAAGTGCAAAGTACTCCTACAAGACTGGCAGGATCCTAATCCTGTACTCACACTGGATGGTGAGCAGATTGAAGTAGTCGAGAAGTTCGTGTATCTAGGTAGCTGCATAAGTGCTGGTGGTGGCGTGAGTGATGAGATCAATGCACGTATAGTGAAAGTCAGAGCAGCTTATGCCAATCTGGGCCATCTTTGGCGCCTTCGTGATGTTAGTCTGGCTGTAAAAGGTCGGATCTACAACGCGTCGGTGAGAGCAGTTTTGCTCTATGCTTGTGAAACCTGGCCTCTCCGAGTTGAGAATGTTAGACGACTCTCTGTGTTCGATCATCGTTGTCTCCGAAGGATTGCTAACATCCAGTGGCAACACCATGTTAGTAATGCAGAGGTTCGGCATCGTGTGTTCGGGCACAGAGACGACAATCCGATTGGTGTCACCATCTTGAAACACCGACTTCGGTTGCTTGGACATGTTCTAAGAATGTCGTCCCAGAGAATTCCACGTCGTGCATTATTTGCCGACTTTGGGACTGGTTGGAAAACGTGGAGAGGTGGTCAGTGTATGACATGGTGTTGGGGTATGAAAGAAAGCTGCAAAGGGCTGGCTTGTGTTGGTCCTTCACGACTCCCTGGCTGGGGTCCGAGAGATGGTGCAACACAGTGGCTAGAGATGTTATCAGATATGGCTCAGAATAGAAGCCAATGGCGATCCTGCTGTAACCTTCTTTTACTTTCTTCATAAAATGTGGTTGTATCTTCCTTAACTGGAAGATTTCTTTTGGTTGTACCTTTCGGTTTCCCCCATTATTGTTCTCTCTCTCTGTTTTTTTTATAATACCCCACGTTCATTAGTTTTTTTTTCTTTTCTTTTTTTCTCCTTCTCTTCAAATTATCATTGTTTTGTGTGGCGCATATATATTTGGTGCCCACTTGTACCAATATTTATGTGTTCTAATAAATAAATAAATAAATAAATAAATACTTTATGATGCATTAGTGTGATATCGATGTGCATGTAACGTATACTTGCTCACAGGGTTAGTATACCTATGTGTGTGTCAAGGGACGTATCGGTGAAAACTCATGTGCTACCAGTATGTATATAGACTTTACTTATCACTGATGCGACACCCGCGCGCAAATATTTGAGGAAAAGATTTTTCCACGAAATTACATCCACATGGTGGATTTCTGAGCCTTGTCGAACAGAAACCATCTCTAGAAAAGTCGGTTGGCCGGAACACCATACCATTTAGCTACATAAGCCTATGTATATTCAATCCCTGATAAGGAGAACCGACGAAGACGAAATCTAGATCTATAATCTTCCGACCCGTTATTTATATCCATCTAAAGTTAAACAAACAGACTGTGGTTTAAACTTTAATTAAACCTTATTTATCATCGTTGATCATGCTGCAATATCTTCTAAAAGTTCTATATATTACATGGTGATTGGAGGTAGTCGACAGGAAACCCTGGACCCGGGTTTCGTGCTACATGGCACTCGTTAGCAAGGTGTACCTGTAATCTTTGAGGGAACTGGTGCTCCCTGGCGAATTCGATCCCGTTTCACCCAGCTTCACAGTCAGAGATGTTACCACTAAGCTATTCGGGCCGCGACCGACCTCCTGTAGGACTGAGATGTATTCACAATTGATTGATCACTGGGTGATGACCAATGTCATGCTTGTCTAGTCCTTATTATTAGTACATATCGAATGCTATCGACCATGTTATTATAATAATTTATAAATATATTGATAAGGTATTAGTTAAGATCACCCTTTTTATTTACACAACTAATAATAAGTAAAAAGTACATATTATTAATAAAGTACATCAATAGAAAACATTAATGATTATTGTCTAAGGTGGTAAGTTTTGTGAAAAATTCAATGCATCAGTTAATATTTTCTTTTAATTTCACTACTTGCATGGTAAATATGTATTACTATAAAATTTCTAATAAGAATATTTATTTATTCATAATCATGTACTTGTTTTTTTGAATAACGTAAGTTTAATTAAGGACAATATAAAACAAAGATGAATTCATAGCTAATCAATTAAAACATACTTATATGAATGAAGAATATTCTTTATATTGAACTCTCAACAAATTATTGTTCTAAATGAATGAACAATCTAAAAATAAATACAAATTTTAAAACTACAAAGAATTAGAATTAATTATGTGATGGGATAAAAATCGTAGAAGAGTACTTCTGAAGAAGTCGCATACTAGGACGAAATGGCCATTCAGTGCTCCCAGCTTTTTAATAGGGATCTAATATTGATCAATTCATGATCTCAATCATAAAATTTACTGTTGAAATGACTAATAAACCATGTTAAGTTAAATAAGTTGATACATTAGATTGTAAAATTTGGTGGTTAATAAGCACACTGAATATGATTAATATAGGAAATAATAATGTAGTTACAAATCAGATCAACTGATCGGTTAAGGCTATGTAATGTACGAAATAAAGAGAATTCAGTAAGGAACAATACATTTATAATCATTAGAATAAATCTCGACTTTTATGAAAGACGAACAATTGTTTCGTTTTCGGATAGACAAATCTCTCAGGAGCATTAGATGACCATTTTTCGAAGCTAAAATAGGATCTTACTACTGAATACACCAGAAACTCTGACATATATCGAGCATTAAATCAGCAAACTTGGTTTTAAACCACTGAGTTGATATTTAGTGGTTTATCTTTCCATATTAATTCAAAACAAATGTTTTGCCCTCTGTAACTCTCAAAGGTTGCCCAGCTTAAATATGTCCATGATGTAAACTATCTTCGAATCCTAACGACCTAACATATCTTTGTAATTCACACAATTTAAAGCCACTTAGACAAGTGGCCATATTCCAACTGGATCGATGGAATTTACCCAACAGATAGGCTTGGACAAACGTAACGTTGTTTATTACTTATTGAGTACTCAATTAAGCAATGGAACCTATTAGTTTTGGATTGTACGTCATCATATCCCCAAGGGTTTAAATGAAGAATGTTTACGTTTTACAGTTAACACAATATCGTTGATTAAGAATCTATGAGATTCATATTTTACAACTTTTGGTTCAAGAAATATAATCGAATATAGATTGATTGATTATATTGAAAAACAATCAATAAATATATTCTTTGTATTGATTGAAATCTGAGAAATAATGCGCCATTATTATATACAACACAGAAATAGCACACAAATTACCTTTATATTCTTAATTATATTTCTTTTAAAATATTTTATCTGTTTATATACAAAACTACGTTAAGTGTATACAAGCAAATATACATAGTTCAATAAAAACTATTTGTTTATATAAATTATAACTAAACTAATTTGTTGTTTTTCAAAAGGCTTATCGTTGAATTTAATCACAGATAAAAACACAGCTTGACTGAGAGACAAATAGTGAAAAAATAACCATGTGAATAATTTGAGAATAACATAGAACATTGTTTAGTTAATAAATACACTTTAATACAGAACATCGCTTACATTTTTTTTAATAGTGGTTGAGAAATTATATTATATTCATAGAGCTACTTATATTGTTGATTAAAGTAGTAACATATTTGATAAAATGATAACTAAAACAGAGTTTCAATGGTTGAGATCATAAATCAATCGAAGCTAGACCACCATGGAAAACCTGAAAGCACTGGACAACCGTTTCATCCTATTGTAGGACTCTTCAGCAGTGTGCATCCACGATCTCACCTCGCGAGGTTCGAACCCAAGATATATCAGTCTTGCGCGCGGCTTCGTGGATGCGCACTGCTGAGGACTCCCACAATAGGACGAAACGGTCTAGCTTCAATTGACTCATGATCTTAACCATCGATATTACTTTAATGTCCACAAAAACCCATCCGATATAACAAAATTCACGAGTTTTATGTCCTTTAATAATTCCTTGTTGTTTTTTTTGTTTTCGATTTTCAGATGGTTGTTCCAAACGTGAATGTCGTTTTGGTGCAATCTGTGAAGAATGGTTATCAAAAGACTCTGATCAACTCATTGGTGTCTGTGTATGTCCAACATTAATGGATATGGCAAAAAATCATATGTGTAATATGAATAGTGGTACAATATGTACAGTTAATGGTTTATTTTATTTAAATGAATGTGTTATGCTACACCAAGCTTGTTTAAAACAAACTGAAATGAAACCAATGAATTTAAATGTTTTCAGTAGAATATTATCTCAAAATGATTGTAGTCAATTAATTGAGAGTAAGTGGAAAAAATGTTATAGATTATATTTATTTGTCAAAAAATGTTTACGTATTTTATATTTCTCTGCCTAATTAACAAATTGACTTATAACAATTAAAACAAGATTGTTGTTTATTAAGTCTATAGTGATAACACAAAAGAATAAACAGGTAGTTGGCTGTCCGACACTATTCGTCTAATCTTCAATATGATGTTGGACTTGTCAGGAGTTAAGTGCTGGTCACTAGCTGGTTGTTACTTTATATTTTAATTAGATCTAAAGGAGAACTTTGTCGTCAAAAGCTGATTTTGTGGTTTAAATGTTCAAAGGTTCACTGTTAAAGTCTTGGAATTTATTCTTAGTGGAGTCTAGGGTACTTAATAAGACAAAATATCAAGTTCCCTGTGATTTTCAGTGGTACTCTAAATGGGATCATCTGTAATGAATGCAACCTATAAATTAAGTCAATTCCCGCAAAACCTTTGGTAAACTCAAACTATAATTTACACTTGTATGATTCATGAAAACCTATTACATATCTACGTCTGTTTAAGTTACTTAAGTATTACTACATATTACTATTTTGGGCAATATAAGAACAACCAAATTATTCAAACGCTAGTCAGCTGTAATTACCTACAGTTACAACTAGTCATTATGATTAGAAACAGATTTATCATATTTCAACTCATCCATCTGAGATGAATGTTGAGAGTCCGACAGACAATCAGTAGCAATGGACAAAGACACAACATGTGATATTCACCATACTGACAAAGGTCAATGTTTTTCCCACTTTTTTTCTACTCATCCATTGATATTCGTTTCTTAAGTGACCCATTGCGTTGCTCCAGAAGTGTTTTTAGAAATTCATGAATTAATTAAACTTTTTAATAGCTGAGATCATGAGTCAACTGGAGCTAGACCACCATGAAAAAACTGGAAGTACTGGACGGCCGTTTCGTCACACTGTGGGACTCCTCAGCAGTTTGTATCCACGATCCCGCCTAGTGAGATTCGAACCCAAAACGAACCGTTCTCACGTTCGAACGCATAACCTCTAGACCAATGAGTTGGAATCCAATGGTATTAACGTCTAACTTTAACTAATCCTTAAAATTGTTTGACACATCCACCATTGTCTTCAGTGAGCTACTAACTCACAACAGTAGAGTTCAAATGGTTCTATCGTGAGATAGTAACTCATTGAAGATAATGGTGAACCGTAGAGCGATTTCATGGATTAGTTTATGTTAGACATGAACATCGTTGAATGCCGGCCGGCTCAATGGTCTAGAAGATAAGCATTCGCAAGCGAAACCGGTTCGTTCTACGTTCGAATCTCGGGAGGCGCACTGCTGAGTAGTCCCATAATAGGACGTAACTGCCGTCAAAAAGTACTTCAAGGTTTTTCATGGTGGTGGTCTAGCTTCAATTAACTCATGATCTCAACTATTAAAATTACTATAACATCCACAAAAACCCATTTATGATATTAATTAATTAAATGTTGATTTTAATTTCATTCATGTTGACTTTTATTGTTTTAAATTATGGTAAATTAATACGAATATTGGACACTGTCATACATTCTTTTTTAACTGTATGAAATAATCATTAGTTTACCTAATACCAATATATATATTCAATTAGTTTATGGGCTATAATAAAACACTTTATAATCACATCATTAACAGGTAACAAGAATATAATTTTGTTTACTTATAATTGTACTCATTTCCTTTTTTTCTATTCTAACAAATAAGTAATTGATCATAATAAAAATGACAACTATTTATGTATTTGTACAATTCTATTCCATTTTTGAAATGTGTCCAAGCACTGAAGTTCTTCATAAGTGGAAAACTTTGACAAAGCATATGATTTCTTTTTAAAAATATATACTAATAGGGAGATAAGTTTGTTATATCTCTCTTAAACTGATCTTAATGATTTACATAGAAAAGTGTTACTTGGTCATATTACATTATAACTGAAATCATTAACATGGTATAAGGACTAGAATTATTCATCTAACATGTTTTATATGATTGATGGTAGTTAATGTGAAATACTCTAGTCGATATTCGTTTGTAAGATAATTACTCAGTCTTAGAGGAACTGACATTTAGGGTTTTATTTGATCTCATGTTAAGAAATGTCGAATTTTGAAACGTATTGCCAAGTTAACCACTCCATGATTTACATCCTTGAGGAATGAAGTAGTCACACTTTTTAATAATCCTCATGTGGATCCTCGTAATTGTCTATAGTAATAAAATGCAATGCATGTGATATGCAATTAATAAATGTTTTGTGTTCTCGTTGTATTTTTCAATCGGCAGAATTTGATCAGATGTACTAAGCACGAAAAAGGTAGTTACTTACTAAACAATCAGTGTTATATTATTAATAGCTATGAGATGGTCTTTAGTCACTTACTTGTGATGATAACGATGAAGAAATGAGGATCAACGAAATGAGAAATCTTATATGACAATGCGATGATGACATTTCAATGATTGTAATAGGAATTGGCAGCAAACGATCCTTGTCCTCTATTGTTATACATATATAGTTGAAACAAGTCATAAGAATGATCCTCACCCAACCTTTGTAGTTCCTATCCTGGTTTTATTAATTTTACTTTAATATCTAGTAATCTATGTATGAAAATTTCCCCTATTTTACTTGTTATTCCTTTACGTTTGTCTAGTTTAGGATTTTCTTTTCCCACAAAATACGTCTTAACGAGTTAACGTATAATCAAACTGTTTAAAATGTATTGTGGTAATCCACCTGTCAGATGATTCAGATAAACCACTTCTCATTACATCATCTACATATCATCAGGTTAGATGAGATTTATTTTCCGAAACAAAACTTTTTGTTTGGGACTAGTCAGGCGAGTATATCGGGATCACAGGGTTGATGTTTACGACCAGATTCAAACACAACACTTTTCCCTAGTACTTTTTGTGCCTAGTAGGAAATAATACGCATCCTGAATTTCATTATGAACCACTAACTGAATTTAATAAACCTTGAAACGAAATTAGAATTTTGAGAAAATCCTATAACATAGGGAATATTTTGCACTGAGACATAATTTGAGTATATTTTTAATTCATTTTTTAAAAGATGCTTAAGTTAATATAGTTACTACTCAATATCTGATGTGTAGTTACTCCCATTCTTGACTTGATTATATATGCTGAAACTGTTAAGGATGCTACATCATATCAATGATCTTTTGATTTAAAAGCTTTTAATTTATGTAAATTTAATTTCCTGATTAATCAAGTGTATACATTTTACTGATTATAGGATGAATAATGAATGACACCCAACCATTCTATCAAGTGTAAATACAGTAATAATGGATGACTAATTATTTATTGTATTTAGTATAATAATTATGAGGATATTAGTTATTTGTAAGAGTAACTTATGAAATATTTAGCAACAAAATATTTTATTAAAATCCTCCATGACCTTGACACATAACATTTACTTTCATTCTTCTTACCATTTACTAAAAGTTTAACTGTTTAGATTATAGAATACTAATAAGTTGTTAAACACACTAGCCTCGCATTCAAGCTATACGCAAGTTATGCAGCATAATTCATCAAAACAAACGATTGTTTATGTAATCTAACGTTTTCATAAAAAGCATGCATCTTTGAGTTGCCCGTTCATTGGAACATAATCAATAATGAAGATAGAGACTCACTTTATCAATCCAGTTATACACAAATTCATTGGATAAATGATGAAAATCTTAATAAACTCCTCTACTTCATTAAAGGACACTTTACTTGATCATTTAAATTCTGTTTTAGTGGACTTTTCCAAGAGTTAGTGTAGAAAGTTATTTACTTCTTAAAGAAGTAAACCATTCTGCGTTCGGGGGAAGCATGGTGAAAAATAATCATGTACTCATTAGTGATTAGATTCTAGAGGAAATTTTAATAGTTCTAATAAGAAGCCACGACGAGTGGAAATCAATCGTGTTGGGTGTGAGAGAGTTACCCACCGCAGGCAATCGGAGGTGGTTGCACAATATTTACATTATTGAATAATGGCTTAGTGGTCTAGAGGTTAAGCGTTCGCCTGAGGGACTGATGTGTCCTGGGTACGAATCGGGGGGCCTTCAGTACTTCCAGGTTTTCCATGGTGGTCTAGTATTAATCGACTCATGAATCCAACTATTAAAAAATATTTTATAAAAATTTCACAGAGAGTTGTTGTTCAAATCTTAATCAGGTCCATGATACTATGGGTTTTTTAAATAAAAATAGCATCAGTAATTAAATTGTACGAAAGAAGAAAATACATACTTTGTAATAAGTGCATACAGTGATATAAGAAACAGGGCTTACTTACATATATGGTTAATTTCAATAGTTGAGATCGTGAGTCAATTGAAGCTATACCACTACGGCTGTTTCGTCCCATTGTAGGACTTCTCAGCAGTGCGCATCCACGACCCCGCCTCACGAGATTGGAACCCAAGACCTACTGGTCTCGAGCGCGAGCACTTATCCACCAGACCACTGAGCTGGCAGGCATCCAACGGTATTAATGTCTAACTTCAACTAATCTACGAAATTGAGCGACCCATCCACCAGTGTCGTCAGTGAGTTACTATCTCACAATTGACCCGGTTGAACTCCACTGGTCACTGCTTCTCACTAGAACTCCAGGATATACATCTTGAAGCCAGCCACTAGTGGGCATACGTTGATTTATGTATTAAACACATACACAGAAATACACATATTTCACCATTTTCACTATACACATATAAGTATAAATGCGTAATGTTGTACGATTTATTCATCATTGAATAAATCAAAAATATAAAATTAACATAAAAAATAAATATCATAACTAATGTATGCTGTTGATTTTTTTTCTCCCACCTTCATTTATTATTCATTTAGAAATGTCTATATCTGCTATTCCCTCTTCTGCGATTCTCATCACTGATGATCAATCTTCAACAACAAACAAGATTATTTCACCATTAAAATCAAATGAAAATTCTATTAGTTTATCACCAATTCGTCAAAATATTCATCAGATTAAAAATGATGAAAATCTACAACATGATTCACCTCATTTATCTCAATTAATTAATAATTCACCTATAATGGAGTTTAATTCAATAAATAATAATCAATATAAATGTTCATTAAAAATATGTTCAAATGAATTAAATCCTATTTGTGATACAGAAGGTACAATTTATATGAATGATTGTTTATTAAAAAAGTATTTTTGTCAAAAAATCAATATTGGTGAATTACCAAAAGTAATTTCATGTAATTCTACAATACAAAGTAAGTAGTAACCAAAAAATCTTTATCATTTATAGTTATATTTTTTAAATATTCAGTTATGGTGATAATATTATAGTGAACAAGTACACAAGTGGTGACAACTGGATGTACTTGTAAACATTACAGAACATCTTAGAAAAATCTGAGTACCATATCGTAAATAAATAATATATTTGTAATATCCCATTGAGTAAAAAAATTAGATTTTCTGACGTTTCGTGACTTAATGTAAGCAACTTCTTCAGAATTTAAATAACCAAGTTAAAATTAATCCAGGTTTAAATAGTACAAAGGAACAATAAGAATAATATGTGATTATTATTAATAATATTAATAAGATTGTTATTGTTCCGTTATACTATTGAAACTTGGATTAATTTTAATTTGGTTATTTAAATTCTGAAGAAGTGGCTTACTGAATCAGGATTTTCATAAGACGCTAAATTTTGAGTTTAAGTGACTATTGGGAACCACTAGTGAAGTGAATCTGTAATCTAAAATAAACTGACAGTCTTCCATTTAATCTAACCATATCTCACCCCACACTACACTCATTGACATCCTTATTCCATTATTCTGTACGTGAACAAATTATCCCAATCAGTATTTGACGATTCAGTATCTTTGAATTTGTTAGTTTAAAAATTAAAAGTCTGTCATTCATCAGACAGATGCATTTTTTATGCCATGAATTACTCTCTTTGTCAATTATAAATAGAATATACTGATATGTTCCTTTAAGTCATTTTCTTGCTCTAGCTAACACTCAAAACATGTCTAAGTGATAGATAATTGATATTTTCTAATCAATTAATACAATGAAAATAAAAGTAGTCTAGAGGTTAAGCGCACGAAACCGAATGTCCTGTGTTGTAGTCTCTAACGTCTGGTTGTGGATGCCCACTCCTGAGGAGTTTCATTCGAGGACGAAATATCCTTTTACTACTTCCAGGTGTTACATATTGGTCCTACATTTATTCTCGATTTCAATGAAATTCTATAATTTCTGCCATTACCATACTGAAAAAAAATTGTTTATATGTTTATACATACATCTAACTGTCTTTAAACCACAAATTATTAAGTATTTAATATTTCCTTAGAGGATTTACTTGCCTCATGTGCGTAATCTGTTTACTTTGGAAAATGAATTCTTAAGTGTCTTGTTCTGTTACAATGACGTAATCATCAATATTTCTTTTGAAATAAAATACATCTAATTAAATTTTTTTAATATGTTATTCCTGGGACTGAGATAAAAGCTGTAATGCATATTATACACTCACAAACTGGCAGACATCCACCTCAATAAATAAATAGATAAATACAGACACTAATCTTTCTCAACCATTCATATACGTAATTTGCAACTAGAGATGTATATCGCTTTCTCTTCCTGAAATTTTCATCTGGCCTTATTCAGTCACCATTTATAACTGAACTGAAATTGACCGGTCTTGTATTTTATGGTTTATAAAAAAATAAACGATTGAATTAAACGCAGAGAAAGTTCAGTTGAGTTATAACACCAATACAAAGCAAATGAATACATCAAATTAAATGGTCATAATACATAGCTTGAAAAGAATGATATTTGTATGATGTTAACTGAGTAGAAAAACAAAATTCATTGTTGGTGTACTTATAATTTTAAGACAAGGGGATGTTTATCCCAGTTTTATTCATTACATGAAGGCTATATTTAATTAAATGAAGACACAAACAAATCGATAGGAATGTTTCACCATATGAAATTATGTGAAACAGGTTCAAATTATATATGCAGCATCAGTTTCCCAGAGATTACTGATACACCTAACTGATGAGTGTCACATTGTACGAAACCTAGGTTTAGAGTCACCTGTCAATTACCTCAAACCATCTAACAACTCAATATACTGAACAATATGTTGTGTTACTTAGACCACCGGCGACAATATAACTTGATCGATAGAATTGGACTAATACCAAGGGCTAGACAAATAGTGATCATCCAATTGTATTTACTGAATGCTTGGTAGAATTCAAGCTAATGAGCTTCGATGATTATAACATAATAGGTAAACAATCACTTCTCTATATAGAAAAGCAGATATTTATTTTATTCAACAGAGCGGTATCTTATGTTCTTATTAAATAAACGTCTACTAAACTTTCTTGCATATAGCCATTCAGGTTTATGGAATAACTTAAAGTCACATTATTTAAACTGTGGCACATAAACCGCATGATTGTGATATTCTTTATAGTAGTATCAATTTCGGAAAAATCGAACTGTTGTATTAATTTCATAATTTAGTAAAACCTCTTTTTAATTAGCTACAGATGTGTTTCTTTTATTATTTTTACTACGGTTAATGTGTTCCTAAAATGAGCATTTACATGAGACATAGATTTACTGTTTAGGAATTTTCGTGATTGAGATCACGAACAGATTGATGTTAGACTATCATCGAAAACCTGGAAGCACTGGACGGCTGTTAGTTAGTTAAATTTTCTAGTTGATTAAAATAATATCTAGTTGTTATTTTTTAATGTTATTACTTTAAATAACTTCGATACATCATCCATTATACTACAAGTTGAAAACAAAGATTATCTATTACAAATAAAAAAATTTCATCATCATAAGGAAATACAATAGGATTTAATAGTTAAATTCACGAGTCACTTAAAGTTAAAACACCATAGAAAACCTGGAAGCACCAGACAACCATCTCGTCCTAGTATGCAACTCCTCAGCAGTGTTCATCCACGATCCCGCTCACGGAACCGTAACTCAAAACTTCTGGTCTCGCTCGCGAACACTTCACCTATAGACCACTGAGCCAGCATCCAATGGTGTTAATTACTGCCACTAATCAATCCACGAAATTGCGCTATCGTCCACCAATAGAATTTCATTAGATCATTTCTGATAGTTTTCCCATTCAGTCTAGAATAATTTTACAAAGGAAACAATTTACCAAGAACGCAAAAAACCGTAGTACATACATACATATTTATTCTGTTGTTCAATATCCAATAGTATGATAAATTAACAAATGTAAAACAAATATTCCACCGATAGTTAATCATGATCTTGATAGTCATAATCACCAAGAAAAAGTGAAATTTCGAAAACAAAAATTTTGAATAAAAACACTCTGTTATGATAAATTCATGCTAAATACTATACTTTTATTATAATTAAATACTTCAATTCTGTCATTATTACTAAATTCTCAATATGAACAGTGTTATTCAGTAGGCTGATATTATTTTCTGTTTAATGAATTCATGTATCTGTCAACTGTAATAAGTGAAACAGTTGTTTAATCATGTAAAATAAGGTCCCGCATAGTAATAATATTCATGTAAACACTAGAGACTAACTTCAAGATGTAACTCTTGGATCTCTGGTAAAAAGCGTGATCTATCGATTTCTAACCATGTCGAGTGTGAGAAATTTATACACCACATGCAATCGATAAGAGTTGAACAATATCCTGAATCGACTGAAGTTAGTCATGTGCACCTTCATCATCTGCCCTCGTCAGTTATCTAAAATTTAAGCGTTCGCACACGAAACTGAAAGCTCTGTGTCTGATTATCAGGTCCAAATTTGTGGATGGCCAGGGTTAAACAGTTCTAACTATGACGAAACGGCTGTTATGTCATTATTACAAAATTCTCGATATGAACAGTATTATTCAGTAGATTGATATTATTTTCAGTTTAATGAGTCCATGTATTTGTCAATTGAAATAAATTAACAGTTGTTTAATTATGTAAAATAAAGTTTTATATTCCACATTATTGTCTTTAAATTATTTCAGACAGATGAGTATATAATTCTTTCCTCTTAAATACCATTTATGTTTATGTGAACACCTTAAAGTGATCAGTGATGTTTTGTGGTCCGAGATCTGACTCCAGTTGGATTGTTTCTGATTGCTATTGAGATATACATATCGCCAATTTGCGTATATTATTATCGACTTAACTCGCGTGTGCGAATAACGGAATCAAAGTGGAGAGAAGAGAGAGCAGCGAAATGACGCGCAGTGGAGAAGGCATGTGAACCGACTCAATTTAATCAAATGTTAATCAATATTTATAGCCAAACAAAAATACGCAACAGACATGTGATGAGTAGGATAAGATATGCACACACATAAGCTCATATAAAAATAGTCATGGTTGATAAGCGAATAATTAACAAGGTCAAAATATGACTTAAGAAGGATGAATAAATTGGCTTGTCCAGAGGCTAGAATAAGTTATACCTTAATTCTATATTGACTGAATATCAGCAGATGAATTTATAAACCAAGTAGATAAACCAGGATATAGAAAGTAGTACTGAACATGTATCAAGAATGATTAGCTTCACATCAAAATTTCTGCTTTTTCTGCGATGAGTACCTTATAGTTAAGATATTGGCGTTGGATGATTTTTCTCTACAATGATCAATAAAATAAATATTTCTTTTATTCCATCTAATTATGTCTACTACTTTAAAGCTTATCTATTACAGTTTCAAATATATGTTGGTTCCTAAAGTAAATCATTATTGATACACAAATGAATTCTAACAGTTGAATTCACGTGTCAATCTAAAATAGACCACCACTGAAAAACTGGAAGCACTGAACGGCCGTTTCGTCCTAGTATGATTCATGATTTTGTGCAACTCTTCATTCATTATCTGAGATGATAACTATCCCACGACCGACATGGGTTGAACTTCACTGGTCACGGCTTCTCACTAGAACTCCAGGAAATTCATCTTGAAGCTGGTGACTGGTAAGGACATAATTATCATCAGTCTGGGGATTTGTAGAGATTGCAGTATTTTTAACAATTGAATTCACTGTTTGATGCCAGCTCAGTGGTCTAGAAAAAAGGGTTCGCATGCAAGGCCGAAGGTCTCGAGTTTGAGTCCCACGTGTGGGATCTTGGATGCGCACAGCTGAGTCCCATAATAGGACGAAACGTTCGTCCAGTGCTTCCAGAT